GTGATGAAACCTGTCGGGTCGAAACGCTTCACGGTCGAAACGCTTCAGGCTGCGTCTTCGATCAGATCCACGCGACCCAACGCGTCGTCGCGGCGGGTCGGAGGTGGTTGACTCAGATCGGTACCCGGTTCCGGTCTCGACTTCCGACTGCAAATCTTGCACCGCAGTCCGTGACCCCGTCCCTTCAGGCCTGTGGCATTCCCCCTCGAAACAGACCTCCGTCCACCACGCCGACCGCACGTCGTTTTTTTCGGTGTTCTATGTGTCCGAGCCCAGAAGCAAGTGCGCGACTTGGGAAGCATCTCTTGCCAGTTGGTGATCAGTCAGAAATGGTCTTGACTCAGAAACCGATGACCGAGTCATGCAAAGAGCTGAATGGAGAGGTGACCGAAGTTTACCCAACAATAACATCCAACATGAAGACCTCAAGCACATGGATGTTTGGAACGACTTTTGGGACATCTATTGATATTGTACAATTGTAGCTCAATTTAGGACTTCTCGGGGGCTACCACCGACGGACCCAGATGCCTGGCCTGACTTAGTAAGTCGCGAGATCGACGGCTCAAGGCACACGAGGCGCACGATCGGCTCCAACTGCAGTATGATGCACTCGTGTAGACTCTTGATTATATTTCAACCCCCCCGAGGCCTGAAGAGGTTTTACATCCATGTCTGGGGGGTTATTCATCAAGAGTCTACATGTCTACATGATGCTAATCTGTTGGGTGGCTTTGATCCCACAACCACCAAAGCAGCTGGGCAGCTGGCTGGTAAGGACCTATGTTTTTCAGACCAACGGGCTCCAAACTTTCACGCCCCCCGGGTGGTGAGAGCAAACGTTGCCAGTGGAAGCTCCAGGTCGGAGCTCAGCGAGGTCAGCGCTTTGAGGTCATTTGACTGGAGCTCAGCGAGGTCAGCGCCCTGAGGCACCCAGAGGACCGAGCATGTTTGAAGTCAGACAGAAGGCGCTGCTCTTCGACAGTCGAAGAGAAAGACATAGAAAAACACGATTGTTCCTCTTCATTGGAAGACAAGGGACATGTCGTCTGCAACTCTTGTGGTGATGGCCTTCAAAATCTCGCAGGCGCAGCCGCGCAGCCGCCACCTTTGAGACGCGCACCTGGCAGTCAAGCCTTCGACGCGGAGTTTGTGAGAATTCTTCGAGATAAAGGAACCACGCACTCGTCGATGGGCGTTCAGTCCGAGCTCTCGGATGTTCCACAGTAACGGGCTTCATCTCCATCGCCATCCCGACCACATCTGGGAGGCCGCACTTCGGACAACTGATTTGTTGCATTTGGCGTGTAATGAACCTAACTGCCTTTCAGAATCCATAAGCGACTGGGACCCCGTTTGGGTCGTCGAGCGCTTAGCCAATCGGGATGAAGATGGATTTTTATGACCCCGAGGTTCCTACTTGGCAGACCTTGCTGGTGGAGAACAAGCAGACACGCTCGTGGTCTCCATGCATAAAGCTGCTACGGATTGCTGTGGCTGTGGCCCGCTCTCCTTGCGTGGTCGGCTTTGATCGCAAACCAGTGTCCCAGGCACCGACAGTTTCTCAGGTCCAGAGGGCGGCTGAAATGAGCGAAGCTAGGGTCGCCAAACCAGAACGAGACACAGGACACGGCGACCAGTTCTGTCAAGTCTATCCCATGTTTCGTAGGAGCTCGGCTAATCTGTTTCCTCCCGGAGTGGAAGGCAGGTGTTACCACGGCTAGCATGTTGGCGATGAAAGGAAAGCCCTGCTGTGCTGCCTTTTTGTTGGCTGAAGCGGCCCAAGTGCTTGTCCAAATTTTGAAAAACTTCAAGCCGTATAAGTTGCTAAACTCAAGTCTTATCACTTCCAAAAATCCATGACACATCAGGTAGGACACCAAAAGTTCACTTTTTCACTCGTTACATCCAGGAACTGCGCTTGCCATTCATGCAATCCATGTAATCCAAAAGGCAGAGCTTCAAGCAAGTTCTGTCGTTGGCGAATTCTATCTGTCCTCAGATCGAAGTTGTTGGGCGGAGGAACTCTGCTCCTTGGGCCAATGCGTGGTCAAGCATTTACCAACCAAAAAAAAGCCCCAAAGGCCTTGGGTGAAGAATTAGTTGTGTCACCGGTCAGAGCCACACACGGCGGACCACGGCGGACCACGGCGGACCACGGCGGACTGGCACCCTGGCACTGCCCGGCACTAGGTGTTTTTGAAGTGGATTTGTTTGTCAGACCCCGAAACAGTTTGAAGCACATGTATTGCGTTCTTCGGAGTTTTTGCCCAAGGACAGCTTAGCTCGAAATGAAACGATCCAAAATCATGTCTTGGCGGAGTTCGCATGGCACGCTGGACGACCTGTGCATGGCACAAACGTGGCGACTGTTTTCGCTTCGGAATGCCCGAGAAGAACCAGGGCGTTTCTCGATCGAAAGCCGAGCAGCACTTTCAAAAGACCAGCCAACCGGCAGAGTGTTGTCAGAAACACCCACTTTTCCGGTTGATCCGAAGAAACACGGTCATTGTGTAAACGCGCCGACGCGTCCGTGTTCCTCCGTGGTGCGTTCCTCCGAAACAATGGTGGTCTCATGCCCATGGTCCATGGAAAGGCGAAAGACGCCCGAAGCCAAAGGTCTTGAAACAAGAATTTGACCATAGGACTGCAGCTAGAGGAGATTTAAGATCTCAAGTTCCAAATTCCCACAAGAAGACTGAAGTTCTCTTCATCGACTCTTTTTTAACGCAGGGCTACTCTGGCCATGTGCATCATCATGCACGTGCACAATCTTCAGGGTTCCCTGTCAGAGTTGCCTTGGGTTGAGGTTGATGGCCAATGCGCTCAAAGCCACACATCTTTGATCCACCAAAGGTGTCATCATGAACCCGCCTGTAACAAGTTCTTATGTCGATCTGTTATTTTCAATGATGTCAATGGACCTTTCAATGACCCCCGCTTGGGCCTGAAACTTGTGATTGCAAGCATTGCCGAAAACTGTGAGGAAGTAGCTTCCTAAGCCGACAAGTCCAAGTCAATATCTGTCTCAAAGGAATAGATACTGCCCCAGGTGAAATCTTTACTTCAAAAAGAACATGAACCTTACACCTGCGTTCAGTCAATTCTGGTGAGCCCCACGTGCTCGAGCCACCGGGAGCTTTGGGGCGACCAACTTTTGCAAGCTGTCATTGACCAAAGCAGCATCAAAGCCAGCTGAAGCAGCTTGATCTTCGTGGCTCACCCAGGTCTTTCTCCTCGCTTGGAACTTGCTCCAATCCAGCAAAGGCCAGGCCTGAGGAAATCGAATGGCCCAAGACTCAAAGAATCAAGAGACACAGGTCACATCGGTCACATCCGCACAAAAAAGACCTTGGATGAGAAAGACGATTTTCCGTGACCGAAGCATTGCCAAGCATGGCCAAGCAAGTGAGTGTTGAACTCTGGGTTTCTTTCCTCTCCAGCTCAAAGCGGCTCAAAGCGGCTCAAAGCGGCTCACTCCGGATCCTGATGAAAGCGGAGTGAGTTCACCATCTGTTTGGGATTCGGAAAAGGGTTTTGAAAAGGGGATGAAAGCGGCTATATAGTTCACCACCACGTTGCCATGATGATTTCAGGGAGTGTAATTACTGCAAAGTCATTATTCTGAACGGGAGTGTCGGTATGTGGTTGACACAAAGGAAAGTCATCCAAAGTTGCAAGCATCTTCATCATTCTCCGGGGCGTTTTCTTCAGCGTTGGCTTGCACTTTTGAGCATCCTGCTGGTTGGAGTGGTGACACCGGAAACAACTGGAAGACACATGTAGAATCCCTCTCGTTTAGTGGGAAATCTGCATATTGTCGGATCGCTTATGTGAGTAGTCTTAGTCTGATGGGATTTTTTTGCTGAAGAAGCATGGGAGTGGCAAATGGAGCTGCGAGGAGACCAACTTAGTCCACTCCACTTCGTTGGATGGCAAGTGCTTGACCTTTACAATAAATGGCGAACAACCATCGGATCTTCTTGAAACCTTCCTCTTCCGGCTATCCGAGCGAGAGATTTCTGCGGTTCCCGGTGCTCAAAGTCGCAGTGCTCCAAGCAGAATTGACGAGTCGCAGCCGCGACTCGGCAGTTCGGCTCGGCAGCGGTGCATGGCATCGGCCCCTCTCATCGGCCGTTGTTCATGCGGGTTCTGCCGACGGGTTTTGACGGGGAACATGGCTCAGTCACTCGTGCGCGACCTGGTCTAATGCAACTATCAATGGGTAGCTCTAAAAGGTAGAGATTGGTATGGCTCAAATCTAGTACGCAGGACAATTGATACTTCCCAAAAGTTTGGCATAGGCGATACCACTATGCTAAAACCACTTACCATTGCTTGATCGTCAGTCCCATCACTGTGTCCAAGGGACGTCGCAGAAATGTGTGCCTCAGGGCCCCTCATACTTGGGGTTGCTTGCGTCCAAGCCAAACTGAAACCGGCTATTCTCGGGTTGTCATATCATCTTTGGATGACCTGCTTTGGTTCTGTTGACTGTTTTCGGTTTCTCAGCTTCCAGGAATTTTCAGCCCATGAAAATGGGTATCGGTTTTCTTGCATTTCAAGGATCACGACCAGTGCAGCGATGGGTCTCCTAACCAAAGGTCAACCGACGTTTCCTGCGTTGGGCCAACCGCACCGACCGACCACACCGCATCGACCCAACAGTTCAGAGCTGCATCGGGCGCCAAGAAGTCGGTTTTGGGCCGCAAAAAATGGGGACTCACCGAGAAACAAGCAAGTCAGCTCATGTTTGGGCCGAACTTGCCAGTGCATCTGAAGCGTCCTACCCGACCGAAGCAAGCTCCGACCCCTCCCAGCGCATGGTCGCTGTTCAATATGGCCCATGCGACCGGCCAGTCAGAGCCTCTCTTGAACACATGGCTGTGGCTTAAAAGTTTAAGGGAGGAATCCGCAGATCTTACAGAAACAATACGGGTTGGGCATCCCGAGGAGTCCCGGTGTTCATCGGCTGTCCCAACACATGGACCACCTGCCTCGTACTTTCACCAACACAAACGGCAAAAGAGCCACACACGGCGCGTTTCGGGACGAGGATGGACACTTTCAAGTCCTAACCAAAGACTTCCGAAGCAGCTGCGCGTCAAAAAGACCAACGGTCTAGGAGTCCAGCGTGAAAAGAACTCCGCTGAGGACGCCCGGAAGGACCCGACGTGGCTTCAAATGACGAAGCATTCAGCGAAGGGAGGACGCGCAGGAAGCTTCGAAACAGCCTCCCGTTGAACTTCTTAGTCTTGCTTCGAAAGCTTCGGCTTCAAGCAGAGATGCGTCCAAGCAAAAATGATTTACGTCAATCAAGGCCTCTGAATACTGGCTCTGCATTCGGGAACATTGATTCACCTGTGAAAATGGAATGAAAATTCTCACACGGATCTTGACTCAAGTTTCAAGTCGCGTGGGCTATATAAGGGCGTTTATTTGGCTACCATGATCCTTGACCCGTGACCCAAGCCACTCCGCAGTGACACCAATACGTCCCTCATCAGCTCCAGGACAGACCTCAGGGTCTTCATGGAACAAAGGCACGAGTACGAGACCCCAACCACGGAAAGACCGCGGTTTGGCCGGCAAGGCCCCACCACTGCTATACCCATCACAGCTGATGGATGGAAAGACTTCCAAGGCATGGGCCATGGGTGCGAGATGCGCGTTCAGCCAACCTCTTCACGTTCTTCCAAGGTCTGGGTCTAGGCAACAAGCTTTCGGTCCAATAGCTTGAAGAGATGGGCCTTTGCTTCAGTCAGGCCATGATCACATGAAAACAAACAAATCCAGGAGTTGTCCATTTGCAGTTCTATTTGGTAGAGAACAAGATTGGCTTAAAGCAACTTGCAAACCTACTTTCTTGCCAGACAACCCCGGAATGGATTCGTTTCATCGATCGCACAAACATTCATGTTTGTTTGGAAACAGCCAATAGTATAGCCGACACAGGGTGCCAATGACTCTTCTCCGGGTCAACAACCAAAACTCCACATCCCTAGCTTCATGGCAGCAGAAGATTGTCAGGATGGGAGACTTCATCATACACGGTCTGGGTTTTTTATGGCCACCATCACCGGGGTTTGACCGACTTGCTGCGAATGTACCCCAACCGAAATCCTGCTTGGTCAACCAAAACGCTGGAATGTTCCTTCGCTTATCTTGACACCCACAAAGAAGAGAAGAGGGATGCCGATTAGAAACCACTACAAGTTCCTCCCCAAAAGCTACACTTACAGTGACAGCTGCTCAAAGGAGTCAAAGGGGCCTGGCCACCTTCTGAGACGAGAAAACATTGCCTGATAGGAATGACTTCCATCGACCTTTCATGAAGAGCCATTTCCAGGAATAGTACCCAGATACACCTAACATAGTAGCGTTGGACAAGGACTTTTGGGAGCTCTCACTTTTCCCATTTTGCGGCTGGAAGTAAACCTTGGAATCGTTATGGCGCTCAACCAGCGAGCACTAGTGCTGCCCATGCCACTTTCGCAGGACGCCACATAGAATCTGCTCAAGCTTGCAAGCATGAATTTCTCACTAGGTCCTTGCACACTCGTGGGCACAAATGGTCCCTTCTTCGCCCCGGCAGCTGCAGTGCACTCATGTCCCGGGCAACGAGTCATACGTCGGTCATACGTCATACGTCCGGCAACGACGAGTCTGGCGTCTGACCGACTGTTCGCCGAAGCCGACTTCGGTGACGAAGCCCAAACGAGTG